ATTCCGAATCCGAAGTGATTTTCAACCTATTTTGACTACTAATATCATTTTCCGGAAATTTGGGTGGTTCCATGGCTGTTGGCGAGCAGTGTTTATCACTGAAGATGACCCCACTTGGTCATAGAGTGCATTTTTGATATATCTCTCGCTCCCAGAAAATTTCAGGATCCTTCCCAACGATTACGTCAGTGCCGGTTTAAGGTGATTTGCTATGGTGATGGTGCTATGATGGACGCGCCACCTCTCAGGCTCAAAAATATTCCTAATCTTTCAGGTCTTTGGATTTTTTCCCATGACACATTTTTGAAGTGATAATAAATTCTATAGGCACGTTGGACGTTTTCTGGGATGGGAGTAAAACGGCAAACTCGCGTCCCGGGTGCCGCGTACCATAAGACCGGCATAATCATATAAGCAGTGTACCTATACCATTGAAGTTCTACGCACAACAGTTTTTTTATGGAAGTTTGATGAATAAAATGAAAAATTAAATATAACAAACAGGATGTTGTGGAATAAAATTGAAAACATAATTCTTTAGTTAAAATAAGGAATGAAAATCGAATGATAATAGGAACATAAAGTAACAATACAAAAATGTGTTTTCTTGCATCAATGCAAGCCTTTATGTATGATACTCTTCACAAGCCCTATACATTAGTTTCATTTAGTAGATATTGTTTGGGTTGAGACAAAATTGTTAGCTCAAAAATTCCGAAAACAAGTATTCATATTGGGAAAAGAAGATATTATATTACATTATTCCCGTGTTGAACTTGGACTTATTCCATATATAATAGAGGAGTTTCTGCTTTAGTCTCTAGGAGACAAAACTGTTTTTTTTTTTCAGATGAATAACATTCGTCAGAAACAAATTTGTCCAGATCCTCCACATACTTTTTTGTAGTTTAGTTGCCGATTTGATCAACTTTTCATCTTCTGCTGACACTATCTTGAACAGAAAGTCAAATGATTCTGAACAAGATTTGTAGGTGGAAGTTCGACGAAGAATTTCAAATCTGCAAGTTGAAATAAAATACTGTGCCCGCCATTTTTCTCTCTGGTTTGAACTTTTTGCCGTATTTTTTCTCCTAATTCTGCTTCCTAGGTAGTGCAGTGATCAAATCTTTCGCGTAAAAAATCACAATATCCAGTTGTATTTTCATATAGCCGCCCTGAAGATTTTGCCGCCTGGTGCTATAGCACCCGAAACACTCCTGGTAAAACCGGCACTGGATTACGTAAGATACAGGATGTTTCCTTATGAATTATTACTACATATCCTGGAAGATTGTGAATAATACAAAATATTATGGATCAATAAAATCATGCTTATCTTATCTTAATTAAATGAAATGAAACAAAGATGGGTTTCATTTTAATCCAAGGGTGGAAGCCGAAATACCCCAATTAGAACTATTATGGGGATACGAAAGAAAAGACCACCACAAGGTGCACATCAGTGATACATTCCGACGGAATCCCACCGATTGTTCTCAAGAAATGTGCTACCGATTTAACACCTGTTCTCTGCAAGTTGTTCAACTACTCTTACAAATTGGGGATATTTCCGTCCAACTGGAAAATTGCAAGAGTACAACCAGTTCCTAAAGAAGGCAAAAATACCCTACCTAGCCACTACAGACCGATGGCACTGCTATATATTATTTCAAAGATCATGGAGAAAGCTATCAACATCGAGCTCATGAAATACCTGGAACATTCAGGTATTATCAACGATAGGCAATATGGCTTCCATCATCAGAGATCAACTGGTGACCTGCTCGCATAAGTCTCACATATATCGCAGCAATCTATTGAAACATATGGTGAAACTTAGGCCGTGGCACTTGATATCTCCAAGGTATTCGATCGAGTCTGGCACCACGGACTCCTCGCCAAGCTTTCATCTTATGGCTTGCGTCCCCAGCTATGTTCTCTGCTAGCTAGTTCTCTCTCAAACAGGTCTCTCCATGTGGTGGTCGACAGAGTTCAATCTGATTCTCTTATCATAAATGCTGGTGTTCCGCAAGGACCAAATCTAGCACCAACACTATTCCTATATACTCCATATCAACGATTGGTTGGAAGCATGATGTCCAGTACACAGCTTCGCGGATGATAGTACCCTCCATACCGCCTTATCTTCCAGGGCTCCAATACCAGCCAGGCAAATCAGGAACGAACGAAGGAGAAATGTTGACAACATGAATATGGACTTGGAAACAATTCTCGAATGGGGATCCAAGTTGGTAGATTTCAGTGCAAACAAAACACAAGCATGCCTTTTCTCTAGAAAAGCCGATCTTACTATGCCAAACATAAGCTTGTCAGGAGTAACCATAGCTTCGAAGACATCCATCTCGATGCTTGGTATTACTATCAGCAATAACCTTTCTTGGGAAAATCACGTGAGATCAATTGCTAAAAGTGCATCCCAAAAACTTGGTTTTCTGTTTCGGGCCAGGAGCTATTTCACTTCCAGTCAGCTGCTTATGATCTATAAGGCACAGATCCGACCTGTCCTGGAGTGCAGCACCCAAACATACCCTGAAACTGTTGGATTCTGTCCAAAAAAGGGCAATTCGTCTCGTGGGTGATGCCTCACTCCCAAACTCACTAACTTCTCTTGAACACCGTATAAAAGTTGGCGATCTGGCTCTATTTTATAGATATTTTCATGGACGACGCTCTTCTGAAATATCAACAATTGTTTCTTCCTTGGCAGTCCCCGCGAGATTAACCCGTGGAGTTGAGACTTCGCACCCCTTCGTGGTCACTTTGGAGACCTGCAGGACATCTCTTTCCGAAGACTGGTTCATCCAACGGACAGTGAGGCTCTGGAATACATTGTCAAGGGAGGTGTTCCCCGAGGCACGTACTAGACGGGGGTCACATGACCAGGAAGAAAAGAACAAAGTCATGTGTCGCACGTCACAAGTCAACAAAAAGGACAAATGACATGAGACACAATGACAATGATCAATGTTACCAGCAGACGAACCCATCATGTACCTAACAAGAGAAAAGATCGATCCTTGTTATACAAATAGCTATTTTTCCTAAAACACGAAAAGGAATCACCAGCTGAATTTTTTGCACTTATTATTTATTTACATTATGTACAGAGTGGTCCACTCTTTAGTAGCAAAATATTGAAAATTATATTCATATGTTCTCACCTGCTTGCTAGTCTAGGCTGTGCCTCGGTTATCAATTTGCAGACTCGACTGTACCGGGTGACATGTTATAAATTACCACCCACAGTAACTCTTTCATTCTCGACAGCAGAAGAAAAATGAAAAACTTACTTGAAGGGTATTTGTTTTCCTTTTCGAAACATAAAATACGTTTTCATTATCTGATGAGAAGATAAACAGGGAGCAACAAAATGTTTAAAAATTTTGAAAATACCTAAAATACCTCACTCAATATATTCATCTTCTTTATTTCTCAATTCTTGGCCAATCAAAACTAATAGAGTCTGATCCATTTTCGAGAAAGCGTCATGACAATGATTGCAAATTCAGGCAAATTCGCTGATGATATTCAATTCTCATTGGCTGTGATCACTGAAAATGAATATGCAATGCCTAGTTTCGAAAATCATTCAAAGTCGATCAAACTTTGTTAGTTTTGAAAGCCTATATTTCGATAGAAATGAAAGATAAATACATAGAGTTCGGTATTTTTGGAAAGCTCATCGAAAGATCTATCCAATGGTGAGAAAATATATAGGGTGTTCCATTCAAAATGCATACACTTTTTGCTGCTTTCTGTAAATTTTTGCAAATAGTGAAAATGCATCTGTTGATTCGAGAAGGGAAAAAAAACCAGTAATGCAATTTTCCGTTTTTATTTCTATTGTCAAAAATACAAGAGTTATAGATTGTGCTACTTTATAACGTGTCACCCGGTACTAAACAGTTTTTCGTACTTGTCATACATTAGTAGATTGTTTCATTAGGACCAAAAGTGACACTTTGTTTGACAAGCGAATTTTGCATTCGCGTGGAGGAACGTTTAGCGAAGCCGAGCGAAAGCAAAAGTCACTGTTGATCCGAATGGAACATGCTATTTCTTCTGCAACCGAAACAATAAGCTCAAATAAATATGTGAAGTCGTTAATCTATGTTTGAAGTAACCAATAATGCCGTGCCATATGTATGCAATGCAACAAATATTGACAAATAATCCGTGTGGTGATAATATTCTACCTACATTAACAGCAGGTTTATTCAACTTTCAAGGATGTTCGAATTGTAGTTTCAATTTAAATACAACCACAGTGCATTTGTGCATGGACCAGGTGCTCTAATGGCAAATGCCGCGCCTGTGCCAGGTATAAGGTATAAGACGTGAAAAATGTTAGGTTAGTGAGCATATCAACAATAATAAAAGCGATTATTTATTCCTCTCCATACTATACACACTGGGTTTGACTTGATAATCAAATGAAGGCCAATAATATCGTTGTTGAGACAAAAAACTATTGCTTGCCGTGATTATTCAAAAACAAGTTATCCATCCCGAGAATAGCGAATGAAATAGAGATCAAACAAGTATTTGCATCTTGAAGGCTTCCTTGATCAAAACAAAAATACTTAACTGAGATGATTATAATTCCAATTTTCAACTATAATAAGGTGTATTTATATCTCCAGCATGAAATGCCAAATCTGCCGAAATCGGAAACAAATCAGGTATGCGTCCCAACCCAAATAACCAACCGTAACAATGTTGTTTATTCTTGATGACGTCTAGTACATCTTTTTTAGTTCCTAGGAGCTAGATTTCAACTTTAGCTCCTAGGAACTAAAGTTCAACTTCAGCTCCTAGGAACTAAATATGTTGCCTAGATTCATACCTATTTTTGTGTCAGTAATAGAAACGTCAATTCAAGAGCTAATTTTGGTATCAAAATGGACAACTTTTATGTCGGTTGCAGAAAAAATAATTATTCCTCTCTCGAAGCTAGCTGAATTTCTTTATTTTCGCAGGCCGTGGCACCGACTTCGTGGGCGGCATCGACAACGAGGCGTTGGACTTCTCGCAGCTGGAGGACTTCATCAACAGCGAGGGCTCTCAAGGCAACGGCTCCTATTTCGGGGACTCCCTCAACACGACGCCGGCCACGACGACAGGGAAACTGCTCAACGTCATAGTCGAGAACAAAAGGAACAATAATGGGTGAGTACAGGGTGTTGCCACCAACCGTGCACGCGACCTACCGCCAGGGTTGCCAACCTAGGCGATTAATCGCCATTTGAGCTATTTATTTTCTCTAGCGGCGGTCATATTTTTGATTCGGCTATGGGCTTTTGTTCGGGCGAAATAATGTTTTTGTTGCAGAAGCTCCTAGTTCATCAGATTTAATTTTCCATTCTCAATCATTTCCTGCCCTCCGGACCGCAACTCGCAGCACCCCTAAAGTACGCAAGAGGGCTGCGAAGTGGCATCGATGTCTCAACAGGAGTCTCTGTACGCGAACCTGAACCAGTCCATCTACAAGCAACCGGCCATTCTGACTCTTGCTAAGAAACTGAAAAGTTCGTCAGCAAGACAAGTGAAACTGAAAGTCATTTGGGTTTCCACTGTGAGTTTCTGTTGCTTGCCAAACCTGTCAGACTGTTATACAATAAAACACCCACGTTGGGCGCCAGATGAAGAAGACTAAGTTTTCTCAGTAAACTCGGATAATATGGATACTATTGTACAACAGTCTGACAGGTTTGACAAGCAACATAACTAAAACCAGGTGACTGTTGGTACCAAATTGAATTCAATCTCACAGTGGAAACCCAAATGGCTTTCTGTTCCGTCTTGCTAATAAACTTTAAAGTTTCTTAGCAACATCGAACAAAACTATACCACATGTGTATTTAATGGATGATATTGAATGGTTATTTTGTCACACAAATAAGCCAATTTTCGGCGAAAAATTTGAAAAATTGTAACTTCTGATACTTTATTGCATTTATGGCAGATTTAACATGTACTGATTTTGAACGAATTCAATTTCTTACTAACATTGACGATAAGGTTAACGAATTCAATCGTCTGCTATTTTCGGTACACATGCTCCTTATCGAACAGTAAGAATCAGTAAAAAAATGCACCCTTGGTGCTCACGGACAATCTCAAATTTATGATGCATATTCGTGACAAAGCACTCAGCAAATTCAAAAGAGCTAAACGTCAAGGTCATTGGGAATACTATAAAGATTTACGTAACTTAACAAATAAAACTATAACTCTCGAAAAAAAAGCCTATTTAGAACAAAAAGTACAATCTGGTAACAAACACTTATGGAAGAAATTGAAAAATATGAACCTAACTAAAGTAGATCAAGACCGTTGCATACCAAACCACCTCTCTGATGTCAATTTAATAAACAAATAGTTCATTAGTAGCTCAAGAGGTCAATCGAATATCGACCAAGAAACAATGAATTACTACAATTCAAATATCTCTAATGATCTCAACTTCGAATTCAAAACAATTGACGAGAGCGAAGTGTATCGTAGTATACTTTCTATCAAGTCAAAAGCAGTAGGGTCAGATGGTATTTCCATTCCTATGTTATTATTGGGTTGTCCTTATCTACTACAATTTATCACGCATATTTTCAACTATTGCATAAAAAATTCTGTTTATCCCTCCGCTTGGAAGACTGCAAATGTTATACCCTTACCTAAGACTGAAGCTCCCAAAGACTACAAGGATCTTCGTCCGATAAGTCTGTTACCCACCTTATCCAAAGTCTTTTAGAAAACGATCGATAAACAAATTCGCATATTTTCCGAGGAAAATAGTATTTTACCAGAGTGTCAGTCTGGATTTAGACCGGCACATAGTTGTGTTACTGCTGTCTTGAAGGTGATAGATGACGTTCTCCACGCGGTTGACTCGAATAAACTTTGTGTGTTGATTCTGCTTGATTACTCCAAAGCTTTCGACAGGATAAATCATGCTTTGTTGGTGAGTATTCTAAAATATTTAGGGTTCTCTAATAAAGCCTGTCTTTCAGTTAATGGATATCTAACGAATCGCTTTCAAAGAGTAATCCTTGAAAAAGCACAATCTGAGTGGATTGAAGTAGAGAATGGGGTTCCTCAGAGGTCCATTCTGGGTCCCTTACTTTTTATTCTCTACAAAAGTCAACTTGTTAAATCTATGGAACATTGCTCTAGCCACTTCTACGCTGATGATACTCAGCTATATTATCAATTTGAGGAACGTCATCTAGATCAGTCATTATTACACATAAATAGTGACCTCGAATCGCTGCTTTCTTCTTCGGAGAAGCTAGGTTTAACAATCAACGCATCCAAGTCAAATGTAATGTTATTTGGTAGAAATGTCATGAGAAAACGTTGTGTAAATCGTATATAGATCACTCTTAATGGTGATACACTGCCAATTCAAGAGTCCTGTAAGAATCTGGGTTTAATGATTGATACAGATCTCAGATTCTCCTCTCTTGTTTCCATGATAATTCGTAGAGGGTTTAATAATCTGAGATTGATATATTCAAATAAAAAAATGCTTAACAAAAATTCTAGAATACTACTGTGCAATGCTTTGGTTCTGTCGCACCTCAATTACGGTGATGCCATTTATGGTCCAAATATCCGTCAATCAGACTCAGCACGCTTACAAAAGCTTCAGAACTCTTGTGCCCGAATGGTTTGCGGGGTCAGAAGAAGAGAACATATTTCCAATCATATTCGAAGCATTGGTTGGCTAACCACAAAACAACGCCGAACACTCGATGCATGTAATCTTTTTCATTCCATCATAACGTCTCATGAACCCCCCTATTTGTATAATAACATCCGTTTCAGAACCGATATACATAACATCAATATACGTAACAAAAATAGAATAACAGTACCAAAACATAAAACGCATGCATTTCAAGGTTCTTTTTCGTATAACGTAAGCAAACTGTACAATTGGATTCCTGAGAAATATAAATATATGAACCAATACCGATTTACCAGAGAACTCAAAAACGATGTATTCAGTGGTGTTTTAACTCTACCAGAATAGATCATTTATGAAATACTCTATCCTTTCATGCTGAATAAATATAATGTAATATAATATTAAGTGTCAGTTAATATCACTGATGTATTTGATGTATTTAATTTTAAGTTTTTCTCTTTTATATTGTTATCAGTTAATATCACAGATGTATTTGATGTATTTAATTTTAAGTTTTTCTCTTTTATATTGTTATCATTTTCTGGGTAAAATTTCATGATTTTCAGTGGGATGATCTTATATTCATCACTATATGAGGTTGAGTGGAAGAGCAGGCTTTTTAGATGTCGCTTCGTGTGACTTCTAACTAGACTGAATTCTGCCTTTTGACCAGTCTGTTTATATAAATATCTATGTTTGTTTATTCTGTTAATTTTGAAGACTGTCAATAAACACTATTATTATTATTATTATTATTATTATTATTAGTTAACTTCAGACTAATTCTTCCCTCACCCTTTGCAGCCATTCCCTGCCCGAAAGCCCTCCGGACAGCAGCTCGGAACACCCTTACAGTCCGCAAGAGGGCTGCGAAGTAGCTCCGATCTCTCAACAGGAGTCTCTGTACGCGAACCTGAACCAGTCCATCTACAAGCAACCGGCCATTCTGACTCCCATTCTGACAGACAACCTCATCTTGGGCTCGCACATCGTGGTTTCTGGACAGGGAGAGCACGTGCTGGAAGGGGGTGGGATTCTGCGAGACGAGGATGCCGGCGTGTTGCAGCCGAGGATCATCATCTCGGAGTCGGGGGTGGCAGGTTAGTGATTCATCGGAAGTTATCTGGCAATTGTTTTCTTTATACCATGCACCACTAGCTTTCACCCGCGATTTCGCTCAAGTTGATTTCGTGCAACCTGCAACCTTTACTGCACAGGCCGTGGTGACGAACTTCTAGACAGTTCAGAATAGATGTTACGATTCTGAGGCATTTTAAAGAACAGAATATAAATTGACACCTAACCTCAAAAATTAATTATTGGTTGCATAGATCGCATGCACAAGTTTCAGATGATCGACCCTCTAGGTAAAACAACCTCACTTTCCTTATTTATTTACAAAAGTTGGAGTGTGGAACGGGTTCTGATATTCCACCTTTGGCGTCTCTTCTTGCACAAGATGGCGTTATGGAAGCAGAAAAAGTTTTTCATCCTTTTTAGCAATAGTTAATTATTGTTGAGCCACATCGTCCTCCATAATTTCAAAAAAATGTAACAACCTTTTCATTACCATGTGAGTACCATCCTTTTAATAAGGGTTTTTCATATATGATGTATCTCCTTATATTGTAGGACTTCTTAGCATAGGGTGAAGATGGACATTGCATATGTCCCAAATATGTTCCTAATTTGATGTTTTCAAATTAAAAAGTCGTGGAGATGACTTTGCGCTTTTCTCATTGGATAGATTAATACATATTTTTTTTCAATGTTAAAGTGTTCAAATGTGTGAAACAGGTGAATATATCGGTAACCTGTTGTTGGATTTTTTTGAATTTATGTACTGTGTGATTTCAAAACGTGGCAGATTTGAAAATGTTATAGCCAATGTTGCCACTTTTTCAGTTGTTCCGGATTTTTTTATTAACTTCCATTTTGAATAGGACACCCTGTAATTTATTGGATTTTCAGCATTCTCCTTGAAGAGCTAATTCCATCGATCTATCACACTTGTAGTCTAGCAGGAATGATTACATAGCGGGTGTTTAAAATCTAGATTGGATGAAAAATTATCTATTTATGTCATAGTACATGTCATGCTGTATTTTTTTGAAAAAAGCCAATTTCTGGCCAATACTAACTCATTCATAACACATACATTTACAAAACAGACTATTAAAAAATCTCAGGAAATGCAGAACAAAATTATCATGGAGAAAGAGGAATTAATTGCAAAACTACGTAGTGAAATTGAAAATTTGAGAACGAAACTGAATCTTTTCAGTCATCTGTCACTGTATACCGAACAATCATACAACCTCATTTTGATTATTGTGCGAGTTTGCTTTCTCTATTGGATGGTAACGGTGTATCTTCCCTACAAAAATTGCAAAACCGCGGAATGAGAATTATACTTCAATGTAACAAATTAACACCGGTTAATTTGATGTTATCTGTTCTTGAATGGATGACGGTGAAGAATAGGATTAAATATTTCTCTATGATATTTATCTACAAAGTTGTACATTGTGATTTTCCAACGTACTTAAAAGATTTTATAACTTTCAATCATCAAATTCACAATCATGAAACAAGAGGTAGATATGATTTTCATATCAATCGTACAAGATTGAAGGGTACTATGAATTCATTATTCCACCAAGGTTTAGTTGATTATAATAAACTACCCATGGAAATCAGATCGAGTACTACAATCCATGTTTTCAAAGAAAGACTCAAAAGTATCTATATGGTTTAGTCAATATGAATTATAATTTAGTGTTTTGAATGGAGATTTAGGTCCTACTAAGAAGTTATAGATATTCATTATATTTTATGAAATATTAATTTATTGTACTGTGTTGAAATTACATTTCATTTTATTTTAATTTTTATCATCTATATATGTTCCATATTTTTTGTATGTATTACTATTTTTATTTATATTTGTAAATTAGGATTTCCTATTTAAATAAAGATTATTATTATTATTAACTGAGGAAATCAAGTAAAATGCAACGTGATATAGACTGTGTCCAAGATTGGGATGTCTATCATGGAAATCGTTTTTATTTTTTTCTGACGTTAATTAAAGAGATATAGGAAAACAGAAGACACTTCCTCATACCATTTTTGAAGCTCTACAAAATAGCGTTGAGACATTTTCTGTACGACTCTCCGTTCCGGAGAAACCATCATCAACTATACCCCATGATAGACATCCTTATCTTGGACTCACTGTATATCTTTGAATGCCGTTTTCAATACCGACCGAACTAGCTATAAGTCCCTTGATGCGAACTGACGTATTTGTCATCTAACAGGGTACGGACAAATCATAGCTCGTTTTTCTTTTAATCATCTAGTGACTTTGGTTTCGTGTATTGGCGTCCCTGACATTGCTGTCACGTCACATTCATAGGCGTTAATGAGATCTTACAAACTTTTGATTTCATACTTGATCTTAATACGACATTATTCAATTCTGTTTTGGAAGGATGGTAAAATATGCTGCGTTTGGCTGTATCAATCAGTTGGATGGCAAATTTGAATTTGTCAGCTTTCCATCAAATACAAATGAACTTAGAACATGGATATAGTGAAGTGACCGAATGGGGAAAATAAGTAAATACATCAGCAAAATATTCGAGGTAAAACTAATATGAAATCACATATTATACTTTCTCATTGTGCCTATAATTATCCACTTCACAAGTTTTTGAATGCATTTTAGTAGAAACAGTTTTGATTAAAACGGAGGATTAAAAGATGAGACATATGCCCTACCATTTAAAAAGTTATACCTACATTCAGGAAATATTAAGTGTTCGTGACAAACTGCAAAAATGATTCGCAACATGAATAATACAGCACATATGAGCACATTAGGTTGAATACCTACATAAAATTGTTCACCATTTCTCAACCATAAGGCTTAGTCTGAAATCAAAATTCATTTATTGATGGTACTGCCTAAGAACAGTACCATTTGGTAAAACGTATTCAACTTTCAGAAAAATTTGCTCTCTAACTCACAAAGATTGTGCTGGAGTTGAAAAATCTAAAACTCGAAAATGGTGATCATCATTTGGATAAAATATGTAGAGTTGAATGAAAAATTACATGTGGAAATTACAATTGTCAGAAATCTAGTGTTCATCCCCAGAAATGAAAAAAGGTGGAACTATACAGGGTGTTTCAAAAAAACCTGACCTTCTTGCTAAGGTAGGTAGAACATTGCAAAATAAGTTGGGGTTGCTCAGTGAGGAAATGTCGTAACGGCATCCGTTTTCATGATACAAGGTGTTGAAAACATGATTTTTTTACACATTTTTCACGATTATGTCGAAACTACTGGCAACATTGTAATGAAATTTCGTATGGATGTTTTTTGGAATCTAACACATCACATGAATTTGTTTCTATATCTGACTCTCATAAAGGGCGCTAGTTACAGGGGTCGTACCAAGTAGTTTGGAGCATAACTTTTTTGAGGTTAGGTTTTTCAATCCAAATATGATATGAACTTGAACATCATTCAATTCAACACCAAATAGGTACTCTTGGTGAAACTCGATACTATTTTCCGTTTTCGGAATATTTCGATTTGAAAATAATGGAGTAGTAATGATGCTGGTATAAAATGAATTTTATTGAGTTCAATTACCTATTTATTCAGATTCAAAAACAATACAATTATTTTTGTGCAGAAGGTATCGATGGAACAAAGAATCATGAGTAGAAAATTGAGAGATATTTGACTAGAAACATGAAATATTGAATCAGTTAGAGTAAGTGTTCAAAATGTCCTACGTTTCGACGAATTCACGATTCTATATTATTTTCTTAAGAATGTATTATTCTTCTAAACAGTTGAGGATCAGCTGTTATGTAGTTTAAGTGATGTTCAATTATGTATTACAACTCTTGACGTGAATTTACATATGTAGCATAGACTTTCTGCTCAAGAAACAACAAAACTGTGTAATCCATGTTCTTAGTCGAAATTTGTTTCGATGTTATTCTAGTGATTCATTGTTAAATAAATAAGTTTAGCATCAGAAATGTATTGTTGTTCCCGGTTTTCAATAAATAGGTGATAATTTTTCATAATACTCACTCTAATACATAGCTTTATACCAGCAACAGTTATCACTTCATCATTTTCAGATCGAAATATTCCGAAAACGGAACACAGTATCAAGTTTTACCAAGAGTATATTTTTGGTGTGAAATTTGATGATGTTCAAGTCCACATAAAATTTGGATCGAAAAATCTAACCTCAAAAAAGTTACGTTGAAAAAATACTCGGCACGAACCGTGTAACTAGCGCCCTCTATGAGAGTCAGGAATAAAAATAAATGCATGCGATGTGTCATTTTCCAAGAAACATCCATACAAAATTTCATCACTATATTGCCAGTAGTTTCGACAAAATCTTGAAAAATGTGTAAAAAAATAAATTTTTCAACACCTTGTATGTTGATAACGGATGCCGTTACGAAATTTTTTCACTGAGTAAACCCAACTTATTTTGCAGTGTTCTACCTACCCTAGTAAAGGGGTCAGGTTTTTTCGAAACACCCTGTATAACTGTTTCACAAACACTTTAGAGTGAGAGGAGACGAGGATCTGTCCGTACCCTGTTAAGATGACAAATACGTCAATTTACATCAAGGGACTCTAGCTATAAGTATATCCATATGTGTCTATTTTCTCATTTTTATAACTGTTGTTCCGCTAAAAGTGCCTTATCGCTATAAATATAAGTGGGTGTTAATACCCTATTTCTATTTTCCATCTACCTCTATGACAGAAAATGTAACCTCTAAAATCGTATCTGACAATCAGGAGCTATCAGGGAAATTAAAAAGACAAAGAGCAGAATATGTCTTATTATTTTATTAACTCAAGCATTGTAATTTAGAAAATAGAAAAGGACAAAAGTTGAACTGTGTGCTCTCACTAGTTGTTTCTGTTTCAGATAACAGCCGACCGATCCTGTTGGCCCCATCCGAACCAGGCCAAACGTTCGACGGGAGCATCTTCAAGAGCGACGAGTACGACAAGAACATGGTCCACCTGGGATACAACCACGCCATAGACGGTCTGCCTAGGAGTAACGTGGAGGGCGATTTGTGCGAACAGAGTCTGGATAATATACAGAGCGTTTATACGAACTTGCAGTCGGCGCCCAAGAAGAGGAAGTTGTCGCAGGATTCGCCTCTAGTTAAAAGTGAACCAGGTGAGTAATGGAATGATAACTGTTGATATTTTCAAGGAATGAGGGCTAACATTTTTTATTGTCCACCTGATCTCGCCACTAAAACGTGAGGTCAGAGTTGGTAAAACTGATAAATATACTTTTTCTCTTCCTGTCATTTGGCGTCTTCTTACTATATCTTCTTCTCCGTCAATGTAAGAATTGGTCATAAAGTTCCACATTTGACATTAAAAAACGTAAGTCTTTCAATAACTTCAACAAGTTTCCTATTTGTTCAAATATTTTACATCATTTTTTCCGAATATTTTCGATAAAAACAGGCCACAGCCTTTAGAACTATCCGGCAAAATTTCGGGATTTTTGACTTTGCCGGCAGAAAACCGGTCACCTTGAAATAGTCTATGAAGTTCCCCCAAAAATGTTTTTTATTACTTTCACTCAGTTATAATAGAATTTAATTTGATTGTCTTATTGATTGTTTTCTTCAGGCAATTTGTACACCCCGTATCATATTTAAGGATGGCTGTTTTTTGCCGTTGATTATATTTGCATGTTTTTCTTGAATTCTTCAAATTTGATTGACAGTGCTAAGTAGACTTTTCAATGATCGCAATCATGTGCGTATCGTGAGAATGGATCTGTTCACTGTCATAAACCGTTTTTTTCTTTCGATTCTCCAATACTTTCTACGTACGTAAATATTTTTATTTTTTGACATATTTCAAGTTGAACATGAAGCTGCACAATTATTTCGTTTTTGATGTTTATTAATTGTGTCAATGTTTTGGATCATTGGACTGCATTAATTATGCAGTTCGTCACAAATTTCAAGAGTAAACTGAAGAAACATCTTATCAGTTTAACTGCTTATCGTTCATTTTATTGCATATTTGATTTTTTTTATTCCTCTTTGAACATGTACCAATGTTTCTTGTGATCAATAAATGTTATTAACTTCAGTCCATATTAACGAAAAAAAAACATAACAACATAATTTGTAAATTTTTGATACCATAAATAGAAAAACACCCTGTAACCGACATGAGACACATTTCATATAGGTGATTTTGGTTGAATCTTCATATTTTAAGCTCAGGATTTTATGGCTGAAATATTTCTTATTAGCAATGAAACATTCTGGATAAGTATTTGTCTTGTGAATGTGAATATTTTTGTCATTGGTAATATTAAATCTAATGAGGTAATTACCAGGCATAAATTTGGCAGAGTCGATAGATGTGGTTATATGCTTATTGCTCTCATAGGTTGTTCGAGGAATTTTCTTCTGGCGTTTTTAGAAGGCGCCGATTTTATTCAGCAAAATATTCGTGATGATTTCAAATAAAGAATGATTGCATCAAATATTATTTATATATACACACTGACTGGTCAATATAAAATAGAAATGTGGCGTAAATTAGACTAGGGTTTAACCCGATTGAAAAATCGAGAAATAACAAAATTTGAAATGTTTTCTGGAAGCTAAGTACAAAACATATTCCCAATTATTGGTGCTTCGAGAAGATGTCCCAAACTTGACGTTGATAAACTGCAAACATGATTCCCTACTCTTATATCTCACGTATCGAGTACATTTAAACAACTAAAACTGCTGGATAATGAATGGCTTGTCATATTCTGATATGTTGTTTTCGTCCATCGCCTTCTTCTCACTTCCACTCCTCCATACTTGAAAGACAAAGTGATAGCTCGAAAAGATGTTCATGCGCGAAATTTTCAAATTATATTCAATGAACACTCCCAAATTCCCTCTCTTCATCATAAAAAACTACTTCATAAACAGAACCCTAAAAATGCGATTCGAGAATACCTTTTCTCGGCAATTTTCACCTCAACAAGGTGTCCCTCAGGGATACCCTCTTTCACTCTTCCTATATAACCTATACTGTCATGATATATACAGCTTCAACCAAGATAACAACGAAATTGATGAAGACCTTTACATCCTACAGTATGCAGACGACACAGCTCTAATCTCTCATAATAGATCACTGAAGTCAACAACAGAAAAATTACAGCAACTGATAAACAACACCAGCACTTGGTTCAAACTATGGATACTGAAACTTAATCCAAGAAAATCATAGTTTGCTTTGGAGTGTTTCTTTCCTTGTCAGGTGCCGTTCGTCGTTCGCGTTCATTTCGCCTACGTTGAACGCCTCGTGGGTTATAAATGCTGAGATTCGTTTACGTTGGGTCAGGTTCGCACCAGATAGCGGTCAAGAATTCTATCTGTGACACCCTGCACTGATGAGAGCACACAGCACGTAATCGGTTGGGAAATCAAACAACCTGTATATTTTTTAACAAATGTTCTTTGTTTGCCAATTTATTGTTGTCGATGTATTTTGAATTATGAAATGTCCACCTATAGGTATATACAATAGAGAGGATTAGACGACTGTCTGAGTTAGGGATGAAACTGTGAAATTCATTTGGGTATGCAGTCAAACAAAAACAAAGTTTTCTCTTGTTCCTGTTCAAGCTTTCGAGTCTTTATTGGCTCTTCATCAGGAACTGGAGAATGAGATTTCGTTGAAGCTGGCTTCCATTAAGTGGGGAATAATACATGTGTAAAAGAACATTCACAACATGAAAACATCAATATTTTTGAAGATTGATAAAAAATTGTTACATTATACTCGAATTTTGTCGAGAAAACTTGCAAAGCATTTTTGCTACGATAATTATTATAACATGGCTGACAAACAGAAACAGAACAATCAACTGTTCTGCAAATTTCAAGTATAATGAAATAATTTTTTATTTATCTTCAAAAATATTGATGTTTTCATGTTGTCAATGTTCTTTTACACAAGTATTATTCCCCACTTAATGGAAGCCAGCTTCAACGAAATCTCATTTTGCAGTTCCTGATGAAGAGCCAATAAAGACTCGGAAGCTTGAACAGAAACAAGAGTACACTTTGTTTTCGTTTGACTGCATACTCAAAGGAATTCTCACAGTTTCATCCTATAGGTATATAATTATGTAATGACGTCTGATCGTGCAAAATGTATTATCATTCCAGAACATTGTACCACGAGTCAGTTGAGCCCTTCCGAACAAATGAATACGTCGATAGACGACGAGTACGCATCCTCGGAAGCCTGCCTATCGGAATCCCAGTACCAGTGCATACGGTTCAATGCCTTCCAGCAAAACAATTGGCATACCTTGTGCGACCAAAATTTAACGGAACTGTGAGTATTTTGCAAGTTGATCGTTTTCCACTGCTGACTCCAGAACGGGCATTATGAATCATGATTTTCACCTGAAAAATAAGTTTTCTTTACCCCGTATATCGCAAACCAGTTTCTCCACAAAAAAAGGAAGAACATGTCTATAATATTTGGAGTTGGACAAGTTAAACTTGAGATGGAAGGAAATATGTGTTTGTGATAGAAATACTAATAATTTGTCTATAATACATATAATATATTCATTATTTCATATAATATAACTGCCCCTAGTTAACTTTTGAATAGCTGGGATTTTTTTCATCCAACAGAACTTTAATTGCTACAGTGCATTAAAAAAAAAGCGTACAAGTATATTACAGAGGGAAATTAACGTCATCCTCTTCTGCATAAAACGGTCTATCGGTAATGATTGTTCACCAAATGTTGACAGTAAAGTTGTCATAGGTTCTCGAAAACACAAAGCATTGGCTGAGCCAGTTTTACACAACTAGAACAAGGATCCCGAAATCCTCTCTTTTTAATACTCGTACGCTTTTTTATTGATTCCGATAAAAATATGTATCTATATGTATGTGTATGTATTGGCATCCAGGATCCATTTTGAAAAATACATATTATTCACCAGAATCCAAATGAGGCACTTGAACTACGGTTGAAGCGAAAAACGAATCAAAAAAATTCAGCCTTTCAAAAATTGACTAGGAGGGGTTACTTTATGGATACACTGTGTATGAATCATGCACGGTACAGAAGATCATTCTTTCCTTGCTTGATTATAATACAGCTGGACTTGAAAATATGAGTAAAATAAAACGAAAAAACAAAGCGAAATAATAGAATAAATATTTGTTAGGAACAAATAATTTTGGATGTTATCAAACATCAAAGTTTGCCGGAAATTTTGTAAATCATTGATCAGATGTTTTTAGTCCAACCACAGCGTTTTTTTTTTCGGTAAGGTCAGCAGCACCCTAAGTATCAATGACTTTTGTGATGTAAGACGACATAATTTTCAAAAACCTTTTTTTTTTTCAGTATTCCACCGCATTACAGGGTGGATGCGGATAAAGGTTTCAATTTTTCACATGCCGATGATGCTTTTGTTTGTCAGAAGAAGAATCATTTTCAGGTATGTACTCAGTTAATTATATTATGAACTGTTATTAGTAAAGAAAAAATCATGTTTTTCATTGTTTTTCTGTGCCATTTCAAGTGATTAGGTTGATATATCTCTGTGAAGGTAATATTCGGCTTGATTCAATGAAAGAAAGAATAAGTATGGCGGCCGTGATAAAAACAAATGTTGTAAATGCATTGTGTCTGAAACGGAGAGGAACAGAATTGACTCTATTATAATATTGTAACTGGGTAGAGTGATTTCTTCGTGATCCTGATTTCCTGATTAGTTGAAATGTATGAAATAAATAATTCATGAAATTCTCAAGTAATTCAATGAAATGACCAAAACATAGGCTTGTATCCATGCTATACAGAATAGCTTCAGTACTCGAAGTTGAGTCTTGAAATTGATAGTCGATTATTTTCATTGTTACCAAGACATTAGTAAATTAAATCTGGCACCGCTGCCAAAATCAATTCACACCAAACCATACTGATCACAGCGTTCTTATCGTTATCTGTTCATTCGTTTATTCATGGTCTAGTATAGGTATATGCCCTGTTTTTGTTGTATTCGTTAATTCATTTGTTGATTGTGATTATATATACAGGGTGTTCCTTAAAGACATGCTTATATTCAAGGGGGTGATTCTATGACTGATTTTGAAAAAAAAAATATTACTAACTTATGTCCTAAAAGTCTTAACTTTCGAGATACAGGATGATGAAGTTTTGAAAAAAAAATCAGTTTTTTAATAATAACTGGGATAATATTGTAGACATCTTCATGAAATTTTGTGCATATCTTCTATGTATACAGATTTTCATTTTCTCTACCAGTGGCGCCGTTAGGGGGATATGATTGTTTATATTCTACTTAAAAGTGAGCAACGAAAAAATATTTCCAAATTTCATACAATGCTATGAAAAGTCATTCAATTTTGTACAAAAAAGATCCTCTTGTTGATACCCTATAGGACACTTTAAAATTAAGATGGAGTTATTATTTGATACAAAAATTCTTGGTTGATGATAATTATTGTGAGAAGCCGATTTTTCGACGTTATGGATTTTTCATTTTATGAATCTTTTCATGAATACCAAGATAAATTCCATTTTAGATGTTATAACTCGATAATAATTTGTGTTATCAATTCAAATGTAAACCAGAAACCTCAATGGTTTCCAACATTTGTGTTGACAATGTTGTCTGTCGCTTCTCAGAATTTGTCTGAAATATTCATAAAAAATGGTGAGCAATCAAAATTATTGTTGTTATAACTTTGTTGCAAATTGAAATTTTCCAATGAAATTTTGCGCTCAACCTAATTGAAGGATGCTGAATTCAGTTTCGCAATTTTTAACATGAAAAAATAACATAGTATGCCCTTTAGATTGAAATTTTATTTTGAAAATTTGTGTAAACGTAGATCTCCGGATAGTCCTTCTGCTGAAACAAAAAAAAGAAATCGGTTGAAAACTATAGATTTTATAAGGGTGCTCCGGTCTTAAGTGGGTCACACTGTATATGTTTATGAGTTTTTTTCATGTTAATAATATATCTGAGAAAATTCCTTCCTCCTATATTGAGAACGTATGAATCATTGAATAAATAGGAGTTCCCAATCTTATTTCAACATAAAACGGCAACTGTGCTATGGTCTGCCCATACTTACGAAATGGTGACGTCGGTTTTTATGCGCGGAAAATTTTTAGTTGTTTGAGAATCACCAGGGCAATTCTATTTTCAAAAATGAAAAATGTGTCCACTTGCCTATTGCTCCAGTTCGAAAATTGGAAATGAGTTGATCTATTTCAATGGGCATTTTAGATTGCAAAAACATTGTGAAAATTATTATTATTCTCGTCCTATAGTAATACTTGATTCTCTTCAAGGTCACGTGTCATGTCCAGCTACTAGGCGACGCCCAATTCGTGAAAACACCAGACGGATTCCAAAAGATATCGAGCTTTCACATACACTTTTACGGGGTGAAACATGATTGTCCGACACAAACGATAAGGGTGGAACAAAGCCAGAGCGACCGGAGCAAGAAACCGTTCCATCCAGTGTTGTAAGTAAAAAAATATACGAGTTTCTTCTGTGACGGGAAAAAAGTATGAAATTTCATCTTTGTTGACAGGTTATAAAATATCACTTTCCATATAGTACTTTTTTCCACGGGTTAAAAACTTCAATAGACGTCCATAATTTTCTGATTTCAATATAATGTGATATTTTCTCAATATTGAGATTCGTCCTTTTTTGCCACAGAAAAAAATTGTGTATTATTCACGGGCAAAATATTAGATTTTAGCTTACGGTTTTTGTCTTCTTTCGCTGCGCGTCGAGAGAACTCAACCTGGAGCAAAAGTCTACTACTTTTTTCCCGTGTATAATAAATAACTATTTTCCACCACTAACCTGAGATATCACCACTATCCAAGATTTTCTTCTGATTATAAGTTATACTGGTTTAACCTAGGTAAATAATACCAAATATATTTCTCCGAGGTAAATTATGAAAAACTGTGGATAGTGTCATTATCATGCAGTGTACCGATGTTTATGCAACCAATGAAAAATTTACTATTCATAAATTACCCAAACGTAAACCAAATAACGTTAAGGCTGCAAAATTCACTACAGCTCTGGAATTATGTGATAATTATTATGAATTCTCAAAATGTCACAAATCACTCATATGTGCTAATAATTAGAGATGAGCATCTACTGAAAGAATATGTTCGAAGATTGATACTATTTATTATGTACAGGGTGGCTGGCCGTTTTCCGCATAACAGAATGTTGTTTTGAAACTTGGAAAATTCCGAATACCTTCGGAGATATACGAAAGAAAACCTAAATTTTCTGAAACCTTTTCAATTTTATCTCTAGTTTTTTAAGAAATTCATCGAAATGAATGACATTTTATCAAGGTCACCATTTCTTTCATACAAGCTGAAAGTTGGAATTTTCAAATTTGAAATCCAACGTTCCGTATTCCAGAAATAATCTTCGACTTATTTTTTTGAAAACGGACCTGAATTTGTTTAATTTTTTTCACACTTTTAGATATCCAATATGCTATGAGCCATCACAAATTGTTATTTTCGAATGTTTGGTGTACAAAAATTGACAGTATCAGAGAATACAGAGAAATATGAGTTGATGATGGTTTCTAGATGACGAAACGTAGTATTCCAAATTTGAAAAACGCCAACTTGTAGAGAAGAAGATAAAAGTTTCATTCAATTTGATCAATTTCTTCAAATAACTTGCAACAAATTAAAATAAAAAACGGTTTTTTTTTATTCGAAAGTATTCAAAATTTTTCAAGATCAAAAGCGACATATTGTTAGACTGCGCAACGCAATGATGAGGCGCAAATTCCAGCCACCCTGTACATGATTTCAACTGTAGCATCTGTGGTGTTCATAAATATTTCAAATCATTTCAATGAACAGTGTATTCTCAATATCTTCTTGTGATATTTATCTTGTGCGAGCAAGGAATGACGGGGGCCTTACCTTTTAACGTGTGATCCCAAACACTTTCCTGGGCCATCAGACAAATTTCTACAATCGCTGGGAATCGAACCCACGACCGGCAAGCAAATGCGGATTATAATACTGACACTCTATCCGCACGGCTACCTGCCCCCCCCCCCTTCCCTGCTGATTAAACATGTTGAAATGGCATGACATTGCTCCTTCAATGGAAATCAAAATCTTCATAATGAAAGATGTCGAATTTTCAGTGTCAATAGTAGAAAATATACTATTTTTCGAATGGCGGGAAGTAGGGGGTTTATAAGTTGGTTTTTACGTTTGCAGAATTGAATTGGTTAATTCGCAAGTGACGAAACTCACAGTGGGCCGACTACACTTCAGCGAGACGACATCGAATAACATGAGGAAAAAAGGGAAACCCAATCCTGAACAAAGATATTTTCAGGTAAACAACTGATTTTTCTGAGTTTATTTGTTAATACATAGTTGGTTATACCAACTGGAAATGTACTCTGAAACATAAAAATATTCTTTTTGTGACGGTAAAAAAAGTTTGATATCTCATCTCTGTTGACAGGTTACAAAATGTCACTTTCCTTAATATCACTTTTTCCTCTTCATGGTATATTATGAGTTGTATAAATCAGTATTAATATATTGTAGGAGTATTTCACTTGAAGAAGTCACTTTTTTAGCGAGAGATGTCGAGTTTTCAAAAATCTTGTGTAAATCTTATCGTTTATGATTTTTTAAACTTTTTTACTATTAGTTGATTTTCTGTACCTATCGGGTGTCAACGAATCTATTATAGACAAGCTATACCTTTAAGAATATTCGGTGTGTCAAATTGAAATTTACTATGGGTATATGGTATGTGAAGAGGAAAGTTTTCACATATTTTGCACTTTCCAGTCACTCCCGGTTTCATCGGAAATTGTTCCGGTTTTGTATTTTTAAATAGATCACCCTGTATATCATAACATTTTTGAATTAACTGAGACAATTCTGGAACAGATTATGAAATTTTCAGAAGCTTTTACGTCTACTTAATATTTTTAGAAGCACTTGATATCTCATCTAGGTGGCCATGATCAGACGTAGATAAGAAGAAGACAAGTAGAGAAAATTACATTTCCGTGTCTAACTATCATTTTTCATTTGGCAACCATTTTTTGATTAGCACTTTCCGGAGGAAAGATTTTTTGAAGAATCTAACGCTACTAATTTATTCGCGATTGGATTGAAAATAAGAACATGAATTTAATATTGCTAAGGAAAATACTGGGTATTGATTTATTCACATTTCTCAAGTGTGCCATGGATAGCCATGATGCATAATATTTTGCAGGTATTTTTCGACTCTTCTGTGGGAATCAAAACTCTTTTCACTTTGATTATACATTATTTTGACAGAAAATTGAACTGAAATTCACTGTCTCCTCCATAAGGCTTATATATGTCACTGTAATTAATTAGTGTTTTGTTTTAAAAAGATTAGAAAAAAATAACTGCAAAATATTATGCATCATGGCTTTCGATGGCACACTAAACTTGTCGAATGTGAATGAATAAATAACCAGTTTTTGCCTTGGTAATATCAAATTCATGTTCTTATTTTCACTGCTTACTTGCTTGACATTTTTGACCCTCAACCAATATCTTACTTTTTCTCATGAAACTCAAAGTTACTTACATATGAAGGTTTCACTGCAAGTTACTAGATCAATTTGACAACTCAGGTTAAGCAGATACCACATTTTAAAATTCTCATATCGTGGCTCAACATACCGCATGGCGCATAAACTCAAAATAATTATGTTCATTGTGCAACAAGAATGACTTCGAAACTATACAGCACCCTATGTTCGACTGTCCCATTTACACTGCTATGAGGCCCCAAAACACTTCATTTTTGGAATCCATCAACAACTTGATATTTTCCTACCTATAAGATAATCTGATCATAATAATATTGATTTTCTGGTCTTTTTCAGATCTTCTTATTACTGTTACTGCTACTTTTTACTTTTGCTCCGTTTTTCAATATATTATTCGTTTTTCTAGTTTTGGATAGACACGTTAGTACAATGCTTTTGAGAACACAAACTATTCACATCTTCAAGTATGTAACAAATTTATAACTCAGGTGTGCCACAGGGCAGTAATTTGGGACCATTACTTTTTACCTTCTTTATAAATAATTTGCCCAAATGTATTGAACATTTCTCAAGTCTATTGTTTGCGGATGATTTCAAGATATTTAGGTCAATTACTACATCGATGGACTGCCTTCTTTTGCAGAATGATATCAACTCAATGTCTTCATGGTTTGATCAAAATAAAATGACTCTCAACATTGATAAATGCGAAGTCATTACTTTTACTCGTAAACATGAATTCATTAGAAATGAGGTGAACTTCCTAGGAAAAATGAGTGCATGGATCTGGGAGTTTCTTTGCGATCTAACCTAAAATATAACACCCACTTGAACTACATTGAAAACAAGGCTTATAAAATTCTTGGTTTCGTAATTAGAAATACAAAATTTTTAAAAAATGTTAGCCCTATCATCAAACTTTACAATGCATTAGTGAGACCGCATCTTGAAAATGCTTCAATAATATGGTTTCCCAAAGCTGGAGTGAATATAAACCTTGTTGAAAAACTCCATGATCTCATATAGGAGTATGCTAGATAGTTGCCATATGGTAACCCTAGAGCAGAGACGTACATTCCATGCTGTGGTATTCATTTATTATATAATCAATAGTATAAAATACAAAGATTCATTCCTAGTCAACTTTATAAAAAGATTAGTACCTAAAAGTTAATTTGAGAATTAATAACGAGACATTTTTTATACAAATCATCTAGATTGTTCTCCTATGAATGAAATGCTACGACAATGTAATGTACTTGCAGAAAGGTGCAATATTGACTTTCTCAACTGTAATTTGAAAGAAATAAAATCAGCAGTATTCAATATTGAATGTATTTTATAGTATCTCTGTCTAGTTTTTGAGTTCAGTTTTCTAATTTAGCTCTAGCTAAGTCTTTGTGTTTTGAAGCACTATCTCTTATATGTAAATACTCCTGGCTGTGTTTGTAAGAGAGAAATCTTGAATAAAATACCAGACGTAACTTTGATATACAACTAAGCTTAGGAATTTGATATATCTGTGTAAACTCTTTGTTTATAAAAATATAATGTTCAATCCCATTGCAAATAAATTAGTATCGTTAAGATTCCTCAAAAATGGTCACAAAAACTTTGTGATTATCATTTTCTGACATCACCTGAGGTCCTCAGATAAGTTCACGTCAGATCATGGCCACCTAGATGCAATATCGAAAGTTCTAAAAATCTTCTGAAAATGCCTCAATCTCCGATCCAGAATTGTCCCAGAAATTCAAAACCGGTGCCATTTCTGGTCAAACCGGAGCCATTTCCGGTCAAACCGAAAGCACTAAATATTGGAAAACTCTCATCTTCCTTGAGACCCGGTATTGTTGTTTATTGTTCTAAAATTTTCCTATCCGTCATTCGGTTGCCCTCTTACGAGCAACCCTCAGAACTCTTCGAGAGTCTTGTGCGAGCAAGGAATGACGGGGGCCTTACTTTTTACCGTGTGATCCGAAACATTTCACTTCATGATATTCATCTTGTCTTCGTTTTGTTTAGCTGGTGGTCGGTCTGCATGCTCACACGACGAACGGAAATTTTCCGATCGTCAGTCAAGCCAGTCAAAAAATCATCGTCAGAGTAAGTAACAATCTGGTATCTCACAAACTGCGTGTAAATCGAGGAGTTTTGCAGGCTTCGAATCCTGGCCAGTTCGAGAGCGACGTGGAATTGTGTTGGCAAAAAGGACAAACGCAAGTAAGTGGGAAATGATAGTTTTAATTTACCTATACCGCGAGACAACATCATAAGCCAGGTCGACAATTTTTAATGGAACCCTGTAGATATTGTTTTCTGCAACCGACTAAAAACTAGTTCATTTTCAATCCAAAATTAGCTCTTGAGGTTGACGTTTCTATTACCGATACAAAAATAGGTGAGTTGCTAGGCAACACTTTGGATTCCTAGGAGCTAAAGTTGAATTTTAACTCATAGGAACTAAAAAGGATGTACTAGAGGTCATCAAGAATAAGTATTCATTATTGTTCTAAATTTTTCTAAACTTGTTCAACCCTCAGAAGTCTTCGAGAGTCTTGTGTGAGCAAGGTATGACCGTGGCCTTACCTTTTAACGTGTGATCCCAAACACTTCAACGAGAAACTCAAACACAATCACATAGTCAATTTGTAACATTTATTTTATATTGAAACTACAATTAGAACATCCTTGAAAAGGAATAAACCTGATCTGTAGTCTCTGTTGATATGATGCATGTCAACACAAAGAAGGAATTCGATCTGACCTGAACCTGAGACCTGAAATGAAGCATCATGCAATAGGATGTTATACAACGCATCTCTCAACAAATAATCCTGGTGATGAGGATTGCTTCCTTTTTATTTCGGAGTGATTAATCGAAAAAAAAAAATGCTGTGAAGGCATTTACTCTTTGGGCCGATAGTGATTCGCTATTTCAATAATTCATTTGTGAACTCTTGTTTCCGCACGGATTATTTGTTGCTCTATATGCTTCATTTCAGGTCAGATTGAATTCGTGCTAACACAAATTGTAACAAAGTAAAGTAGTCCGAGGCCTTGTTTCTATCTACTTAATCTGTCAAGTGAGTCACATTCGTGGTTACTTCACTTATATACATTTTTGTTAGGTGATAATTCTTTCGGTTGCAGAAAAAATAGCATGTTTCATTCGGATCAAAAGTGGCTCTGTTTGACTCGCAAATTTTGCTTTTGCTCGGCTTCGGTCACTTCTGATTCTAATAAAACATTTACTATTATCTTCAACTATTTAGAGTAGCTGAACTTCTTTCCTTTTCTATTCTCTATATTACAATGGTTTGAGTGAATAAAAAAATAAGACATATATTCTGCGCTTTGTCCATTCAATTTCCCTAGTAGCACCTGATTGTCAGATACGATTTCAGAGGTCAGATGTTCTGTCAAATCAATCATTGTCGTAGATTGAAAATAGAAATAGGGTCTGAACACCCACTTCAATCTATATGATAATACACTTTTCGCAGAACAATAGTTAAAAAAAGAAAAGAATTCATGTAACAACATTTTAATATGACAAAATAGACACATATGGATATGCTTATAGCTCGTTCCTTATTGTATGTAGAACTGTACCCGAGTGAGAAAGTTTGAAACATGAAGTTTGTTTTGAAATTCCACCTTGTGCTGCATTAATTTTTGACTGATAAATTTTGAATTCGGTCGGTATTTAAAACTCCATTCGACGATTTTTCACGTTGCAATTTACTGGATTTTCTCAGCTTCGTTCTCAAATTTTCAATTTTATTAGGTAGTTTTTCAATAAATTCCTCTTCCTTTATGATAATTTTGTTTTGCATTTCGTGTGATGATAATATTGGATTTTTTTTTCAATAGTCTGTTTTGTAAATGAATAAAACAACGGATCTTATAAATCTTCTGTTTGAGAATGGGCCTAAAATATAGTTTCATTACAATCTGCTGTTATAAGAAGTGAATTTCAATGTATGTACTTACCTCACAAATTTTGCTTGTCTTCAAATTCAAATTTTGCATCCAGCCGTTCCATATTATATTCCTTTCATGAGGGAATGGTTGATATTTTTGTTTGGTAAACTAAAGAAATTTCAAAAGGAAATGGTTGATATTTTTGTTTGGTAAACTAAAGAAATGAAATCACCATTCCCTTCAGAATTCCCGCAATTCATTACACAGCAGGACATTTCCATAAATGTATTTTTTTCTCAATAGTTTATGAAATTATAAGGTGTGTCTAACTAATACCATCCAGTGACTACAATTACTAATGAGTCATTCATGCATTGCTAACTTGATTTTCAACACTTAATGAAAGACATTCTTATTTTATTTTATTTATTTTGAAAATAACATACATGTCAGCCAATATGTATACAGAGTGTTAATTAGTTGAGTGCCGATAAAAACGATCACGTGGCACTCAATCATTGTTGAAGACCCGTCACTTCTATGTTGACTCAGTAAAACCATTCATCATTCCAATTATAATATAGAGGGTGAGTCAACAGTTGTGTTCGATATTGGCCAAACTGTCAAATATATAGAAAAAAATTCAAATACAACAGTTATAGGGTTTCATGAGATCTATCATCTAAAATTATCTTCATTTCTATTGGGTTTTCGAATTCCAAGATATCGGCTGATGATGGGCTTTTTGAAATGGGACACCCTCTATATTATTGCATTTGTAGGTTCTACCTCTTCAGGGAGAAACTAAAAATGCAATAATAAACTACTCAACACTAATTTCGTCGCACACCAAAATGTCGCCCCTGTTATAATGTGGATAACTTTTTTCAGTTTAGAACAATTTGAATTTGGTTTACACTGTTCGATAGCCCAGTCCTTCAGCTATATTCTGGTACTTCATTGAAACATAAGGGTGTTCACATAAAATCTCTACATGGTGTTTTCCGACACTGTGCGAAATTTCGGAATATTCAAAAGGCTCTCAAATGGTGAAAAAAATTGTTTTCTCAACTTCGACAACAGAGGCATGAAGATGATCTCATTACCTCGAGATATTTCGCGAATCAACTTCCTATCTCTCTTATTTACAGAGTGATCTCAAAAAATCAACTTTTTGGTTTTGCAGCCATAACTTTTTTCCACGTCAACCGATTTTGAAAATCTTAGGCTCATTTTGAAGATGGAACTTCAGATGAAGAGATCTGAATATAAGAATTGACTCGAGATGGTTATCAAAGATCTAGAGTTTTCTTGAAAGTGACCCAAATCTGGAACGCCCTTCGAATCTTGGTTGGGAGGAGAATTGAATGAAAATCAACTTGTTCTCGGTAAAACAATTCATTCTGGATGCGTCCATATTTTCCTCGCTCTCAGTAGTCAAGAATTGTGCGTGAGAAAACACAATTGAAACATGTTCTTGCAAAAACATTAGATCATTTCTCGTCTGTAATGCATGGCCCGCCGTAACCAACGTTACAAGAATCACAATGAGTGACTGACAAACCCGACCAGCTGAGGCTCATCATGAATGGTGTACCAACAAGATCAACGGATTTTGATTTTTTCAATAAAGTGATTTTTTTAACAGTGTTCACGTAGGTACATAACATGCGATTCAAGAATATGGAGAAGTATTCAAGCGAACAACGTTTATTTGTTGTAAAAACGCATTTCAAAAATGGTGAAAGTTTCACGAAAACAGTTTGCCAATTACGTAAAGTTTTCAATCGCAAAAATGCGCCGAACGAATCGACAGTGATAACCAAACAAGTCGTGTCGGAGATAAGCCCTTTGAATGGATCGGACTGTCGTGTGGTCGTGTTTAGCAAATCCGCGATTTGGAAGAAAGATAACCCTTGTTCCCTCATTTGTGGAATCAGTTCCAACTGGTCGGGCGTTAAATGCGGCATCGAAACTATCAAAATCTGTTTATGATTCGAAAACGACGTCTAATAGCGTTTTCCACTCGTCGCACTAGCTCGAACTTTTTCGGCACTGAGTGCGATTTGCATGGTCCACTGAAAATTTCAAGAGCGAACTTTTGTCGAGAAATGATTTCCACTGGCTTTCAAACTTGCTCGATGCCCGCTCAGAGTTCGAGTTTTCAGAACTGTGCTTGTACGACGGTGCGATACACATAACCTCAAATATTCAAATCACGAGTGGAAAATGTTTGAAGTTTGAATAATTATGAATGTCTCATTGAAGTTTATTGCTATTTTTAAGTACAATAATTTCCGAAATCATAGATTCTTCGGATTCAAGCGATGATGAAGAAATGATGATTGAGATAAAGAAGTACTTCGTTATGAAACAGCGTTTACGGAAGATTGAAATTACCTGAAAGTTGAAGGAAGCTATTCAGATGTGCAGGTATCAAACATATTTTCGTTGATTCAGTAATGATGAAAAATACTAACTTCGTGAACGACACTTCAATGCTACATCACTATATTGTCGAATGATTCAATTGAACATCATTGACAATGAACATTCAAATACAAGAATGTTTCTGGCTGGTTTCTGGTAGTGTTCACAGGAAAACCACAATAAGAGGTAGATGATTCCATTTCATGTGGACCAACGGAACCAAATGTACTTTCAATAATTCAACTTTTTGATTGACAAACAATTATTCTGACATTTCTGATGACAAGAAGGTCGCACCAACTCTCTATTTCTATTCCACTGCTCTGTGCTGGAACCGCACTTTATGGAAGAACCAAGCCAGTGCCACTTGTACTTGCTCTATGCCAGTGCGCTCTGTAAATCGGCGAGTGGAAAACGCTATAACCTGACTTGTCAGTCACTTACTGTGATTCTTGTAATGTTGGTTACGGGCCTTGCATTACAGAGGAGAAATGGTCTGATGTTTTTGCAAGAACATGTTTCAATTGTGTTTCTCACGCACATTCTTTATTACTGAGAGCGAGGAGAATATGGACGCATCCAGAATAAACTGTTTTTCCGAGAACAAGTTGATTTTCATTCAATTCTCCTTTCAACCGAGATTCGGAGGGCGTTCCAGATTTGGGTCACTTTCAAGGAAACTCTAGATCTTTGATAGCCATCTTGAGTTAATTCTGATATCCAGATCTCTCCATCTGAAGTTTTATCTTCAAAATGAGCCTAAGATTTCCAAAATCGGTTGACGTGGAAAAAAGTTATGGCTGCAAAACCAAAAAGTTGATTTTTTGAGATCACTCTGTAAATAAGAGAGATAGGAAGTTGATTCGCGAAATATCTCGAGGTAATGAGATCATCTTCATGCCTCTGTTGTCGAAGTTGAGAAAAACATTTTTTTCACTATTTGAGAGCCTTTTGAATATTCCGAAATATTGCACAGTGTCGGAAAACACCATGTAGAGATTTTATGTAAATACCCTTATGTTTCAATGAAGTACCAGAATATAGCTGAAGGACTGGGCTATCGAACAGTGTGAACCAAATTCAAATTGTTCGAAACTGAAAAAAGTTATTCACATTATAACAGGGGCGACATTTTGGTGTGCGACGAAATTAGTGTTGAGTAGTTTAGAACAAACTAAGCAATTTAATATTGATTGATTCAAAATTTGTTTCTTTTCCCTATGGTAGGTATAGGTATAGGTAGGTACATATATAGGTGAGTACCTGAACTTGAAATTTACTGTAAGGGATTAAAAACTGAATATTTTAAATATCTGCCCTGTTAATCAATTCAAAATGAAATTTCACTTACGATTTCGAATAATTCACCACCAGAAATGGACTATCTAACCATAATTATGCAATGAGGTACCACGAATTTTCATCTAAGTAGTTTCAGTTGAGTTATCTAACAGCACCTGTTTTATTTTCTGAATTGAAAAAATCAAAAAATTAATATCCGAGTAATCATTGCTTCATGTCCGAATTGGCAACATTGTAAATTCTATTGTGCATTTTATTGACACCCAGGAGGAGGTGAGGGTATTACCAACCCAAATTCCTCGCGCAATGACGTCACACGTTTCGCGGCCATGTCTGATCGTTTGAATTCGCTCGTTCAATTTGGCGTTTTCAATAATTTTTTATACGATGAATTGATGGGAAAAAATCTAAAAAATATTTCAGAGCCATATATTTCGGGATATATTTTTTCTAGAACTGACTGGAAAGGCCCATTCGATCACCCTATAGATATGAAAATTATTTTAGGTGATATTTTTCATGAAACCCTTCGAATTTTTTTTATACATATATCTGACGGTTTGGTAGACTGTTACCTAGGTTGAATTCATATTCAATCAAGTCACAACACTGTGGTCTCCGACGCCACGCAGAGTCGAGCTGGATGAAATTCAGGGACCACTCCCGTATTATCATTATTATTATTATTATTATTATTATTATTTGATTTTTCAGGACTCTGTTGTGCACAGTGGTAGAGTGGGGATAAACACAGAGAGACCGGACGAATCTCTCGTGGTGCACGGAAACATCAAAATAACTGGCCACATCATCCAGCCGAGCGATATCAGAGCGAAGAAAAACATTACGGAATGCAACACGGCCGAACAACTGAAGAATGTGCAACGGATGAGAGTTGTTAGGTCAGTTATAATAGATTATAATTATTTAAATACTGTCTGTAGGTCAACTGAGGAGGTGGTACATTCATTATTCCAGATTTTATATGATTCTCTCTCCTCGTTTCTTTAAAATAAAAACATGAATATTATTTCATTATACGTGTAGTAAGGACAAATCAGATGATTTGCCCAAAAATTTCAGTGCGTTTGAAGAATTTTCCTATCAGAGAGCCTAAAAGAAAAATTCACCAGCTTGTCACTGACAATTTGTATTGAAAAAGGTTTGGAGAAGAGAAATAAATGTATATAGAAGAAATATCAAATTTTCACTTGGCTTTGGACGTTCCGGTAATAAATCTGCTCCCGTTTTCAAATAAAAAATGCATTTTTTTTTGTATTGCAAATTCGTGTTTGTCCTGACACTTTTCAGTTCTCAGTGACAAGTGGTGACGGTGGCAAGCAAATGAGTTACAGGATGTTTGCATCAATTAATCTTGAATTTACCATTTTCATGTCAGTAGTGAATACCAAGTTCTATCTATATCAACTGAACAGGAAGCAATGCTATTGTCTCCGTTTAGAAGAATGCAAGCAGATTTCTCGATTTTTCTCTTCCAGTTGTTATCATCATTTCCAATGATTTCAATATTATTCCACTCTGCCATATATTGTCCATCTCCAGTAAGGATATGTTCAGCTATTTTCGATTTGTGATATGTCTTTTCTTTGTATTGTACTTATGTTCCTTCATAATTACTGAAAGAGGTCTATTCGCGATAGAAAATAAGCGTACACCACCTATCGGAGTTCTTGAAAGCTGTCAAAGCGGCCTGTTCACTTTGTTTTCATTGGTTCACATTTGTTTTTTGTTCGTGCTTATTGGTCATACCATCAAAACAAACCGCTCAGAAGTGTTCTAGTTGTTGCCGTCAGATGGGGCGACGTGTTATTTTCTATCGCGAATTGGTTTAGCCTGTATAAAACTTTCCACAAACACAAGGTATACTGTAAATACAATTTTTTGACAATTGTCAAAAGACGAAAGGGAATCCCTATGACGTTCGGAGAACATCGCGCTTATGGGGATAGGAACATGAGGTTGGTATTGGAGTTTTTGTTGAACTTTTGGTGATTATAAGTTCTTGCGAAGATTTCCAAAGCTTTGGCGTTCTACAGACAAACGTGTGTTGATAAAGGGCTTATCAATCAATATCTCCTAAGATTGATGACGTAGAGATGTGCTGATTGGGTTTGTCGAATTCGTCTGACTGGTATTGCTAATGATGGAATAATAGCAGAGATAGAAACATTTTCCATGGAAGTATCCATAGAAAAATGACAGTGCAACGGTTGAGAGTTGTTAGGTCAGTTATAATAGATCATTATTATTTTTTGTATCTCATGGAGCGCACGAAAGACGAAAGGGGTTCCTTATGATATTCGGAGTACATCGCGCTTACCTATGAAGATAGGGAGATGGGGTAGGTATTGGAATTTTGTTGAATTTTTGGTGATTATACGTTCTTGGGAATACTTATTTTGACAAAGAATTACAAAGCTTTGCCGTTCTACAGACAAACGAGTTTCGATAAAGGGCTTGTCAACGTCTCTCAAGATTGATGACGATGGGATGTGCTGATTGGGTTTGACGAATTCGTCTGACTGGTATTGCTAGTGATGGCAGGATAGCAGAGATAGGCACATTTTCCATGGAAGTATCCATAGAACGGTGCAACGGTTGAGAGTTGTTAGGTCACCACAGCTAGAGACAGTAATTTCCATCATGCAAGAATTAATAGGTTTTTGGCAGAGATGCGAGCGTTTTCCCATTATTTCCGCTCATGAGCTTAGTGACTATTCTTTATCTCTTGGAGGGCACAAAAGGAAATTCCTATAATGTTCGTGGAACATCGTGCGTACCTAGGGAGGATAGGAACAGGGGGTAGGTGTTGGCATTTTTTTGAACTTTTGGAGGTTATAAGTTCTTGGGAATACTTCCATTGGTGATTTTGTGTTGAGATTGACCAGTGTCGAAAGCTACTTTGTTGATCGTATGAAGAATGAATATATTATTATCTTTATTATTCCCAAGAAACATACATGTTTATAGCAGGGAAAATTATGAAAGAGCAACTAAAAAAAACAAAAATTAGATAATCAGATAATCATTTTCAAATCATATACATAATACATATTATGTTGTTTCTTCTAGAGAATTGTCCAAAGCCACCGTTTTTTTTTTATTGCATTACCCATACCCCATAAGTTGGAACTTGTGCGGGGTTACCGAGGCATACTAACACAAACATCCATGGCCTGATTAGAAAAATTTTAACACGGTTTCATTTTGAAACATAAAATGTTTGAGAGTAGTTTTGAAATGTTTACATCCAAATTAAGGATCGATAAGTGTATAAAAGTCTTATGTCAAATATATCTGTTTTCTCATAAAGTGTATCTATTGAGAATAGTTAACGTTTTTGCATCATTATATTAAGTTTCATGGTTTGTGCTGATTGTAGGTCCTTATCGTATTATTGAAAGTACAGCCTATGCTGTTATATAATAATTTATTATTGACTCTACTAACGAGTTGAAAAATTCATTTTTTTTTTTAGAAAGAATATCTTTGAACATAGAACTCATGCATGAATAGTCTCATATTTTTGCTAAATATAAAATATGTTCATTCCACCTCATATACTGATCCATAATAAGTTCTGGATATTTGATGGATTTAGTTTTTATTGATTTTAGAACAGCTACAGTTTTTTTCATTTTTACAACTAGGTTCGTGGATACTTATTGGTTTGAAGTATTACTTCATATTTACTTGATTATGAAACTATAGTAAACGCAAGTGAACTGTATTGTCAAGGTATGAAGGTCTAAAATAGCTAACCTGACCGGCGTAGTACCATCAACCATCTCGAATAGTGAATATTCACTGGTGATTAGGAAACAGTTATTTGTATATTCAAACTTTGATAGGTCACGACACTGATCGAAACGAATTGTTCAATATATTTTTCGAACTCGAATTCAGCAAACAAAACTTGAAGTACTGGGCAGGTTTTACTAATAATACTGACTGCCGTTGGTCCAAGCACAGCACACTCTCGTGCCATTTACGATAAGCCCGTTTTTTCGTTCACCTCTAAATAATAATGCTGTGTCATCGGCCTAACACATTAAATGCCCGTCAAAGCCATTATTTCGAGATATACTGTTGATTTACTATTGTTTTTTTTTTCAGATACGAATATGAACCGGCTCTAGCACATCAACTGAACAGGTCTAACGAGTGCAGTGACACGGGAGTGATAGCCCAAGAAGTGGCGAAAATTTTACCGGAAGCTGTCAAACCTGCCGGGGATCTCATTCTGCCCAATGGGACTTCGATCGACAACTTCCTAGTAGTTAATAAAGTAAGTGATAATCGAAAATGATTATGGTCAATGCTATATTGGAATCCATTTTAACCAAGGAGTAGTTTAAATACTAAATGATACACGAAGTCACCTCCACGACATATAATGTGATTAACACATCAGAATTGGTTGGTCCAAAACATGTACCAACCAATTCTGATGTGTTAATCACATTATATGTCGTGGAGATGACTTCGTGCATCATTTAGTACTCAATACTTGACTCCACTTTGAGAAACCATGGACTTCTACCAAAGATTACGGAGTAGTTTTTTCCTACCGTCCTATATCGGGTGTTTCCGGAATCGAGGCAATAAATAAAATGCGCTCCCACCATATTACATCTTTGAACTATTATTGAACTTTGAAGCTCCAAGTTTCCAAAATATAATTTTCTCTTTACAAAAATGTATTATTTTATTCCATTTTGTTTTTTAGTCTTCTATCATCCATTTCATTTATTGCTTCAATTTCGGAAACACCCTGTATACATTACATATCTATTTATTCAGAAAGTTACCGATATTTACTACTCAAAAGAGACCTGAAGCGGACGAAAAACGATATTACAATAATTGACTTCCTGTATCTTGCGAAACATTCAATATAGTTAACAAAGTAGAGGGTTATCAAAAGTGATTTTGATCGAACTTGGTTTTAACATCTCTTTTGGAAACCGCTTGAACCAATGAATATTTTTTTTCTGTGGTCCTATACAAATTACATATTTTTTCTTCATATATCTGATATTTTCTATCCAAAATGTATTTCTGGACCAAGAATATCTAAAAAAAAATCAGCCCTTGTCTCAACACCTTGTATAGCCAAACGAGGAAAACTACTCTGAGTTAAGCGGATGATCCCGCAATATTCTATCAATAGAATTCATGAATGTCTTCAAAATGAGAAGTAAAATCAGATTTCGAAGCAATAAAATCCTGGTCAAATTAACTATAAATATAGAAAACACTCAATATCTTCCTTTTACATCATATTATGTTAGCAACTATGCACAATAGGCAAGAACTCAAATGTGTGAATTCAATTCAAATCTACTTATATGGCAGAAGGACTTCTTTCGATAGCCATTTGAGCATTGTACTTTCTGAACTGAACTGAATTTTAGTTGTAACATAACCTGATTGCATCAATTTTTTCATTTAATATGGTATAATACTTCGAAAAACAGCATTTGAATACCCTACAAGTTCATGAAACGTTAATACATAAGCGTTAGGCGGCCAAATCATCTATCCAGTATCATTTTTCCTGTATTGCCAGCTGTATTATTCAAAGGAAATATCAAGTGAGTATTTCTCAATTCTCGAATCGATCCAACTGTGAACTGTCGAGATAATTTGTTATTCATTGATGTAGTTAAAGTCACCAATATACGTTTTTCCCCCATTGCCAATTATACAAATTTTTAGCTGACGTGATTACTAATCGAGTAGGTTGCAACATGTCGTAGGTTCGATCAGCAGCGACAAAATTCGGTATAATCCTCAACTATACGATTATACCGAGGTTTGTACAATCTAATTGAACGATTTGGTGAACTCGTAATTTCAATGAACCCCAAATTCTGATGACATCACTCTAATATCTATGTCATAATATGCCACATTTCAGCTCATAAGAAAACAAGAACAAGTGGCATATTGTGGTAATCAGTGGAATCTTGACAGCGATGAAATGATGAAATATACAAACAAGCTAAGAATCGTTTGAGACGGCAACGCATATATATATGTTTGCGGATGATACAACATTGATCTATTCGGAAAGTTCGGCTGAAGAAATCAAGAAAAACATTGAAAGTGATTTAAGTACCTCATCTTCTTGGTTGAATCATAAAAAATTGAGTATTAATTACAACAAATCAGCTTTCATGTATATATCTAAGAAATCTCTTCCAAATGAATTGAAAAATCATATTATATTCAATAATGAAATCATTAGATATTAAACAGATATCAAATTTCTTGGTTTAATCATTGATCAAAATTTATCATGGTCGAAATAAATATATTGGAGAGATTCGAAAAAAAATATCACCAATAATAGGAGTACTTTACAGAATTCGACATAAAATTCTATATTTGATATCTATTTAAGATACGGCTAGTTTATCAATTATAAAGCCACTTAAAATCCTTCACAATAAGGTTGTCGAATGTATATAAAAATTGGATTATTCGGAACCAACAAGAAACCTTTAAAATCCAAAAGAAATATTAGATCTTCAATCAATATATAAATTCAAAATATTAACATTCATTCATTCAGTCAAACACAATTATAAACATTTCAATTTGAATTTTGAAATTAATGCTAATATAGATTCACATTCAACTAGACAAACAGACATGTTTTTCCTCATTAATATCAAATCTGAATTTGGCAAGAGTTCTATACAGGGTGTAAATTTGAAAACTTACAATGCGAATATCTCGCGAAAGAAAAAAGTTTGAAAAACGCCGTTTGGCGAAAATGCTAAAGAGTTAAGGGGAACTAGAACCACCATATTTCGGTCAAGGGATGAGTCATCCCGTCGGCGCGACACACCCCAACTTTGAAATGTCAAATGGCACTACCTCTATTGGGATGCCTCAAATGAACAGTCTCAGTCAGTAGTATTCACCTGTTCAAGACTTTTTTTCCACCCACTACAGGGGGTACGAAAAACATAAAGTCGAATAAAATAAAATGAATTGTGTTAGAAGGATATTTTATCAGATGTTCAAAATTCATTCCATTCTGTTGTAAGCTATAGTATAATCGATGTTCAAATGCATTTCTAACATTTTGGAACACATCTCTTGGAATATATCGGCATTCTGCATTTTATTTTATTCGACTTTATGTTTTCCGTTCACCCTGTAGTTGGTGGAGAATAAGTCTTGTACAGGTGAATACTACTGACTGAGACCGTTCATTTGAGGTATCACAAAAGAGGTAGTGACATTTGACATTTCAAAGATGGAGTGTATCGCGCCGACGGGGTGACTCATCCCTTTACTGAAGTATGGTGGTTCTAGTTCCCCCTAACTCTGTAGCATTTGTACCAAACGGCGTTTTCCTTACTTTTTTATTTAGCGAGATATTCGCATTGAAAGTTTTCAAATTTAGACCCTCCACTTTATGTTTTTCGTGCACCCTGTAGTGGGTGGAAAAAAAGTCTTGTACAGGTGAATACTACTGACTGAGACCGTTCATTTGAGGTATCACAAAAGAGGTAGTGCCATTTGACATTTCAAAGTTGGGGTGTGTCGCGCTGACAGGGTGACACATTTCTTCGCTGAAATATGGTGGTTCTAGTTCTTCCTAACACTTTAGCATTTGTGCCAAGCGGAGTTTTTCTAACTTTTTTATTTCGCGAGATATTCGCATTGAAACTTTTCAAATTTACACCCTGTATATTACAATGGATTATTAATTCACAATGAATTGCCAACAAGACTTGAAAAAAATATCAGTACCAAAAAATTCAAGAAAGAACTTGAAAAATATTTATTCATTTCATTTATTCATTTCATTTATTCATATATAATTTCTTGGTATAATCGAACAATATAATTTTTGATATAATTACATGGTTACATACTTATTATCATGCACCTAGGTGTAGACACCTGTATGTGCATAGCATACAAGGGTGATATAATTTATTGAAAATTTTCCTATGTACATACATAAGTAATTCTAACTCAAAGAAGAATAATCATTGAGAATGATAGGTAATATGTTTTTAAATAATTATAACCCATATTATATTTCTGCAAGATTGATGTGAAATTTAAGAAGAAATGCGCTGAAAAACATAATTAACATGAATAGTAACTCAAAAAATAAACTATTGGGATAAGTGATTATCTGATGTTAAGGTTATCCGTATATACATGATAATTATTGTATATATGAGTTCTACACATTCTAGAAAATACATGGTATTTGTGTGCATTTCTGATTTCCATAGGCAGTAAATTATAGATTCTAGGGGCTACACTTCTTGAAAATCTCATGGTGGCGTCTTTTTGACAAAAAGGGACAGATAAATAATTGTTAAACACTTGTCGAGTATTATGAGAATGCGATACAAAATTCAGTGAGTCTTTGTTTTTGAATACAAATATGCAATTGCTGTGGAAATACAGCATTCTGACGTTAAGAACATTACAATTGTATAAGAGAGCTGTTGGGTACAGCCGATCTTTGAAATGTATTATCTTAAGTATGTAATTTTGTATGACGTTCAACGGTTTAAGTGCATTGCTGTAGAGACCACCCCATACCAGGATTCCATAGCTTAAAATAGATTCTACTAGAGCTTTATATACCATTATCAAGAGATGCCTTGTCATGAATTTCCTTATTACATAGAACTTATATATAAGTCTTCTCAGTCTATTAGTCAGATTTGTGACATGTCTAACCCATTTGAGATTTTTATCGATGGTAATACCCAGATATTTAGCCGCCTCTGATTCATTTATCTTCAAGTTTGTGTTCCTAATATACAGAGAATTGAATTCTGGTCTATTTGCATTGTTCAGGGAGAATGCAATGTATGTTGTTTTTTTAATGTTCAACGATAACTTATGGAGGTCTAACCAACTTTTCACTATCAGAGTACCTTGTTCAGCTTTCATTTTAACATGGTTCCATGAATCACCTTTGAATAGAAGGACTGTGTCATCAGCATACGATATTAGAGTGCCATCTATATTGGAAGAGAGTAATGAATTGATGTAGGTTATAAAAAGCAATGGTCCAAGTACTGTGCCTTGTGGAACACCTATGAGAACATCTACTGGATCACTGATTTGGTTTCTAATTTTCACATGTTGAGATCTATTTGTCAGGTAACTTTTGAAAACATTTAACGCGACGCCCCTCACTCCGTAATGTTCAAGAACGTTCAGAAGATTTTCATGGGGCACCGTGTCAAAAGCTTTTGCAAGGTCTAGAAATACCCCAATACATTTTTGGTTAGA